ATTCAGCGGAATGTCCGAAACTGCCTGCGACCGGGGCAACACCCGTTTCCTGCACTCACCGCGTGCCTGTCCACCGCACCGACTCGAAGAACCAGCCTCTCGCCAGGATGACCTGGACCCTTCCATGAGACCACGGCCCCGTGACGCCGAAGATGATGCCGCTACTCAGGCCCTCCTCAACATCGCGACTGAACCCCTCGAGTCCACCGCCGACGACGACATTGCGGCAGTCTCCAACAGAGTCTACAACCGTCCCCTAGGCCGCAATGATGTCTTCGTTGACGACTTCATTCAACTCGGGCAAGGAGGCAAGAACCGGATGAACGTACTTCGTCGCCACCTTCTCCACGCCATCGACGAGATCCTTGCACGCCCCAACCTGGACGAAAAGCATCGCAACGAAGCCGTCTCCTTGAAGAAATTACTAAAAGGCGACGGCAGCTGGGCCACCCGCAAACTCATCCTCGCCTGGATCATTGACACTCTACAACAGACACTCGAACTACCTCCCCATCGCAAGGAGGCTGTCGCGGCTATCTTCCAAGATCTAGCCGCCTGCAAGCGCGTCAGCAACAAACGCTGGATGCAAATCCTCGGAAAACTCCTCTTCGTCTCGGTCGCTATACGGGGTTCCGCTGTGCTGTTCAGCTCACTCCAACTCGCCCTCAACAAGGCAAACGGAAACCGCATCCGGATCACCGCCGCTCTCCCTCATCACATCGACGCCTTCGCCAATCTGTCAGCCAGCCTCTGCCACCGTCCCACACACCTCGCTGAGATCGTGCCTCAGGACCCTTCCTACTTCGGGGCCACTGACGCCGCCACGGCCGGTATGGGTGGTGTTACTCGACTCCCCTGGCCAAGGATACTATGGAGAGAAGCCTTTCCGGACGGACATCCAACCGCGACCCCTGATCTCGGCCGCAAACCTCTCTGGCTCCATTACCAACCGCGACCTCGAACACGCTGGCATTCTGGCTCAACATGCTCTCCTCGCCGACCGTCACGACGTCCGCTACGCAAACCTCTACACGCTCTCGGACCACACCCCGGCTGTCGCCCGGGTGGCAAAGGGCGCCGTCTCCACGTGGTCTGCCCCATGTCCTTCCTCCTGCAACTGACGCTCATCAACAGCAAACAACACCGGTCTCGGTTAATCGTGAGACCGAGTATGAAAGGGGGCCGCGAGGCCACGAATGTCCTCGTCGTATATCCCAGACCGCCAACGTCATGGGGGACGACACTTCCTCGTCTGCACACATCTCATCCATGCCTGACTTCTGTCCCACTTGAGCAGCATATCCACAGAGCTACCATTGGAAGGGTTGACTGCTTTGCCCCGAGTCGTTTCCAGTCTACTCTCCGCGCTTCGTTGCAAGTCGCCTCCAAAACTGTCGTCGCCAAGACCGCTCAGGCCCGAAACCGCACCTTCGGCCGCTGGTGCGAGTTCTGCGACCGCCACAACGTCTGCGAAACCCTCAGTGATATCGATGAGCCGGAGGTCCGCCTCTGCTACCTCCTCACCTTTGCCCACACCTACCGCGTGTTCGCTCTGTCCGAGCTGACACAGTGGTCAAAGCCCTTTGTGCCGTCGGGGAGGGGATATCCAACCTGGACTACCCTGATCCCCGACTCGGCGCCAATGGAAAGCTCCATCCCCTACTCGCTAATTACTACAAAGGCCTCCACGACGAAGATGGACCCCCAGACCGGGCCTACCCTGCCAACTCTCCATCCTCCCCCGCGAAATGTCTCTGTCCTCGACTACGTCGACCCCATCAAGGGAACCGTCAACCAACACACTCGGGACCTCTGCATCTGTGCTTTCTTCTGGCTTCTCCGTCCCGCCGAGTACCTCGACACAAGTAATCCTGGGGCCCGCAGCCAGGCCTTTCTCCTGGAGGACATCACTTTCACCATCGCTGGCCGCCTCCAAGTCACCGCCGACAAGATCTCTTTGAATGACGTGTCTGACCCCAGTCGCCTCACCGCGGCTTCGCTGACATTCACTGACCAAAAGAACGCCGTCAAAGGCGAGTCCGTGGGCCATCGTGCTACCTCTGACCCATGGCTCTGTCCTGTCAAATCCCTCGCCCGTCTCGTCCGGCACATCCGCATCTCACTCTCAACGCTCAAGGCGACGGCGGCCGAAATCGCCGCTACTCCGCTCTACAAACACTATAACTCCGTCCACAAGAAGTGGTACACGTCAAACCCAAGTTCATCACCGATGCCCTTCGAGTTGCCGCAAAGCGGCTCGAACGGACTACCGGAATCTCCCACAAGAAGGTGTCCGCTCGCTCCCTTCGTCCGGGCGGCGCCACTGCTCTCCTCTGCGCCCATGTTGACTCGGATGCCATCGCCTTCTCGGTCGCTGGAAGTCCGACGCCATGTTGCGCTATCTTCGAATCCAGGCCGCCACCATCACGCACCACTACTCCCAGAAAATGCTGGCCCATGGTGCCTACACCTTCCAGGCGGGATCCTACGACAAGTTCCTCCCGCCTGCTCAGGCGCCTGCTACTATCGCAGAGATCCTCCTTCACGCGGAACTCTACGAGGACTAACCTCCCTTAGTCCAATTTCCAGAGAGACCTTGCCTCCTCTCGGTCTCTCCAAACTTTTCCCACCCCGCTACGCTCCCACCCTGTTCTGCCTTTGGCTATTTGGGTTGGCCGAATGTCGCACAATCACGCGAGACTCACATCCCGCGGGACTGCCTCATTCGTGCCTTGGTTCCCGCTCGGGATTCTAGCAATCACGAGCGGCACCCCTGGGTTGCGGAGACGGTCGGCTCAGTAAATGCGAGTCTCTCCACCACCTATCCTACTACTCTACTCACTAGTCGTGCTGTGCTGCTTAGGCGAGCGCCGCTTGTCGGCGCTCGTTGTCGAGCAGCCGCACGCCAAAGAAGACAAACGATCCCGATCCCTATCCATCCACGCTGACCGGCGTGGAAACCTGAACCCTCATGGTTCTTCGATGAATGACTCGACTCACAGTTGCCAGACTGGTACCATCTCACAAAATACGAATCTACTCCCAACACTTCGCTCACACACAAAGTACATCTCTACACTCCTCAGGTCATCACCTGCTTCCTGAAATGGATACCCCCATACATGTCGATTGCCACTGCCTTTTCGCAAGATCCACTCTAAGGCAATAGCACCCCACAAAGACCGCTCACAGATAGCAACCTTGAATGAACACAACACGCAAGACCGGTCCAACTCTCTCCTTCAGCCATTGAACAGTCGATCGCAAGAAGGTTGTTCTCCTTCTCTGCTCACAATTCTTCTTCAGCCGAGCTGCAAGCTAGAACTAGAATAGATTAACCCACCTCTCCCTCCCTGGGTTGGCCGAATGTCGCACAATCACGCGGGACTCACATCCCGCGGGACTGCCTCATTCGTGCCTTGGTTCCCGCTCGGGATTCTAGCAATCACGAGCGGCACCCCTGGGTTGCGGAGACGGTCGGCGCAGTAAATGGCCGAGTCTCTCCACCACCCTATCCTACTACTCTGCTCAACTAGTCGTGCTGTGCTGCTCTAGGTGAGCGCCGCTTGTCGGCGCTCGCTGAAGCTTTCCCAAGCTCTCGGACACTCAACTTGTCTACTACTACCGGTAGCTAGCTAGAGCTAGTACAGAAGATGTGGAGCAAAGGGAGGGTCTTTTGCCTTCCTTTTTTAAATTGCCAGTCAACTCAGCTATCAACTCGCAGCAGACCGACAACAGACTGGCTAGCTATGCCAGAGACAGGAAAAGGGATGAGCTCCTAATTCTCAGGCAATAAGTTGAGTCCCAAGTGATCTCCCACTAGCTACTAGCGGGCCATTGCTCGTGGCAGAATCTGATGGCAGATCGGAAGCGAGGAGGAGAACAGTTACTGAGGCTTCCCCGTTTGCAAAAAAATCTTCCGAAAAGACTATAATTGGCAAGGTCCAAGTCGTTCTAGCTTTCTGCTTTGAGCAGCTCTTTGAGCAGTGTTTTTGCTCGCACCACCTTGCCCCGGATGGTTCGTAACAAGAGGAACCCTTCTTCGGTGGTGTAGGAAATGGTCTTTCGACTGTTTGGCCACCAGTAGATCAGAGTCGAGTCAACAAGCTGCGGATTACACCCAGTTTGTGGACGCCACGTCAAACAACAATTCTCATCAAGGCACCTTGGCACCCACTTCAAAGTTTGATGCCTGCACAGCTCCATGTCTCTTCCAGTTCTCTCCCGCTCATCCCAACTGCCCTCTGTTTTGCTCTACATTGTACACAATCGCTCCTTGCGTGTAGATAAGTACTCCAAGACAGCCCAGAAGCAATAAATCAATAAATCAATCACAATAACAAGCCCAAACTCTGCGCTGTTCGTTCAAGTTGCAGCATCGGCTCTGCCCCCAGCCTCAAGAGCTGGAGCTAAAATTTGTTACACACTGAGACACTGAGTATATGTTCCGAACCGTAAATTTTCTGCAGATTCCGACTAAAGTCTCTCAAAAGAGTGTCTCAGTGACTCTCGGAGTGACGCTGTTCATGATTCTATTATTTTAATACTCTCAAGGTGCTTAAAGCGTTAGTGCAGCAGTGCAGCATTGTGGCTTTGTGCGAGCAGGCAGTAAGGAATAAGTCATCGAATGACTGAAAGCTTTCTGAAGGCTGACCGAATTAGAGACCGCTCCAGTCTTCGGTGGATCCAGAAGGGAAAACTAAGCATTATTGCATTGGCGTTCGTTCGTAAATCTCAAACGACTTTGATTAAGAACTCGAATGATCGAATCCTGCGAAGTCCTTGAAGACAGCCTTCCAAAGCTTCCTTCGCAGAAAGTCAAAACAGCTCAGCTCAGCTCCACCTCCACAATAACACAATACATTATATATTTCCCGCCATCGCCCTTTCTCGGGTCCCCGGTGGATAGCCGTTTCTCACAGTTTCAAGATTCCACAAACAAACGCACCAAAACTATCGCTACTACCAACCAACCCTGTTAAAACAACTCCACAATGACAATGAGAAGAACGTTGAGTGTTACCTTTGGCGAGAATTACATCTCTGAACTTGCGCTTGATGATTCTTCCTCCTTAAAAAACGAGCTGTACTGGTCCAAAGATGAGATGAGAGAGATCCGTCAGGATGTGAAACTCCTCGTGGAGACGCAGGGATGTGCGCGAGGACTTGAATTCATGGATTGTTGCCCCAACCACAGCAAGACCCGACGAGTACATCATGTCAAGACTGTCCTGGCCCTCCAGGAGGAGCACCGTGATCATGATTTGAAGGATGAGAAGGGCCTTCAACGGCTTGCAAGTGCCCTGAGCAAGCCCAACAAGGAGGAAGCACAGTACCGGGCTTCCTTGGACTCTGCGGACGCGTTTACGCTTCACGTAGAGCAAAAACTTACCCGATCTTTGTCGTTCTTGAGCGCCAAAGACGTGGAGGAGTATTCAAAGCCCACCAAATCCTCCCTTCGCGCAAACTTGAAACGAGCGTCCACCATGCCGTCGACACGGGCCGATGGCGTAAAATTCTGCAGCAAGTGATACTGGTAGCTGGACACAGAGATGAAGTCGACGAGATGAGCAAATGACACCATTAGGGGAATGAACATATACAAGAATAAAGCAGCTACAAGGCATTAGAAATATTTACAAGTTATCCACAAATAGCAGGCATCACGGTGTCCCTGATATCTACCGGTAGTACTCTTTTGTGGCGAGCACCAAAGTTTGTAGAGGGCGAAAGCTGCTTGCCACAGATGAGGAGGCAGAGCACTTCATGACTAGTCAGAGAGGACCTGGTCCAATCTGCACCGGCTTTTGCCCTGAGCAACCAGCTCATCGAAACCGCACAAAAGCCCACCAAGCGGACGACAGAGGCACTTTCATTGTTTGAACAACACCTGCACCTCAAGGCCCCCGGCCACTTTGCGCCCAAAGCAATGCCGTGGTAGAGCTACACTCTGATCTGCTGGTAGTAGCAATCTCATCCAGCAAGGCACACCTGCTTGTTCTGTAACAGACCATCAGAAAGTCTTGGTGGAATGACACTGAATGAGACACAACGTTGCGACGTCTTATCTGACAGCTCCTATCTATGTTACGTTTGTCTTTCCCTCGAGCAGATTCCAGCTTGCTGACGAGATCCAGCTAATAGTAGCTGAAGACAGCTCTGAAGACCCAAAGACGCGATGGGTGGTCTTCTTTAGCACCTGGCTAGCTAGTCGCAGCTCTCTCGCTATCTAGCTAGTCATCGACAATGGATCGCCCTGTGCAACATTTTGTCAATAGTTATAACTGTGTGCAATAGCCGATCGTGCAAGTTTCTGGGTACCCACAGCTCAAAATAGAAGAAGGAGGAGGCCAAATCCTCTGAGTTGTTGGTGGGGACTGGAAATCCATCATTGACGATTCTGCCGGACCAAGTGCTCGTTCGGTCCCAAGTCCTCGCAGTTAAGGTTCTTTCCCATCTGACCATGATGCCATTTCAGCTATCCTTGTCCAAGCTGATCACTTGAGGACTTGCACGGACTACCAATGCTTGGTTTCCGCATCCTTCCTTACAAAGATGCTTTTATCTTGATGGGATCGGTTATCATTGTCTCTGTGGTGCCTACTGCCTTCATTTACATCAAGAGGCACTCGGCCATGTTCTGTGGTACAGACGAAGTTACGGACGGTACTCCCAACAAGACTTTGACTGTTCTAGAACCCCAATCCGACGACGGCAAGGATTTTGATGAATCGATCTCTGAAGAGATTGACTGCTAGATTGGCTAATGTATCTCCGCTGTCTGGTTTTCGGCCCTGCCACGACTTTTCACTTTGCCTGCAGCTAGCAACTTGGATGTTCTCCTCCCCTCTGAACCAATGCATGCGGTGCAGTATCTGTTTCATGTTTCCTTAGCTCCCACTTCCGTTTGTATGTTTGAACTAAAAACTAGTAGGATGAAATTGGTCACGATAAAACTACTAGGATGCAATTTACACAAGCCATTGCTACGAGCTCCGGAAATGGAGGAAGCAAGCAACGGATCCTGAAGCATGCCTGACCAATTCAACGAACCTGAGCTTGCTTCACCATGAAACCCCACATCCACCATGAAGCTTCTCAGCACAAGGTTTCCATTGCAGTCGTCTGCTGGGATTGCATCACTACAAAGACTAGGCTGGACGTTGCATCGGTGCGATGGACTGAGGACCGTCCTTACTAGTGTTATTTGCCAGCCAAGGAAGCTCAGCGCGAAGGATCTCTGGCTTGTCCTGCCCCTACTGCTTGCTTGAACACAGTCAAGAAGTCCCACACCTGCAGCCAAGCCTGTTGGATCTCGCTGGAAGGCTCTTGATGGATCCTTCCTTGCCTGACGGATGGTTTCTTTGACAAATATTGCTTGGCGGTATTGGACGCATCTCCTCCCCCCTCACCACTACAAGTGTGCCGTTTTGAGAAAATTCTTGCCTTTCAGTCAGTTTCCGAAAATGGCATTGAGGCAGTTCAGTTTGCTGCTGACCACAAGAGATGCTGGCCACTGTGCTTCGGGACAGAATTCTGGTGGGTACAATTACATGTACGCTTTCTTGTCCTTGTGCGCTGTCCGACTGGAGTGGAAGCGCTTTGAGTGGCTCACTGTTGGGCTGGCTAGTAGCTGGCTTTCTGGCTACTGCTGACAAACCTTTCCACTGTTTGGGGGGGGGGGGGGTTTTCTGCAGTATACCTTTTGGTACAGTCTACAGTACTCTGATAGTTTTGGTCTTTGGTGATCGGGACGTTCAGCGTAACATGTTGCGTCAAAACAACATGACCCAGTAAAATCGCGGAGCTCTGAGAGCAATCATTACTTGCTTGGCTTTCTTGACCAGCGAACGAAGATTCCAAGAATCATTCCTGCATTCCATTCCTGTGCTCTCCTCTGCCTCTTTCTTGGACTCTGGAAGATCCTGCTCTTGAGTCGCTCACTGCCTGGTCAGGGCTCTGGGCTGGCCAGTACTCCAGTAGCTGGCTTTCTGGTTACTGACTAGATAGACTATGGTACTCTGACCTTTCCACTTTCCACTGTTTTGTGGCGTTTGTCCTGGCGCCTTCGGTACTGGTATGGTACCATACTAGTACCAGTACAGTCGTAAAGTCAACAGCCTGGCGCAGTTCCAAGTGCGTACTATTTTAAAATAGTACATGTGCAAAATTTTTAAAATAAGACGATGCATGTCCGCCATCTCAAATAAATCTCAAACAAACATACGTGTCATGACCCAGCAATTCTCCGAGTTCTTACAGCTCTGAGAGCACTCTAATTAACTTCAACTCCACAGCCATCCTCCACCCGCCACAGCTCCTCCCCATCTCGCCAGTCACAGAATTTCATTAATTTTCTAATAATTTCAGGCATGTTCGGTTCATTCTTTAAATAAATAGTTTTTTGCAGAGGATGAAAAGGAGAATAGGAGCACAGTAATTCTTCCGAACGAATCCCGGTACGGTATCGAATTCCCATCAAGGCCACCTCCCTTTGGTCACTGACCAATTCTCGTTTTCACCATCCAACATCCAACTTCTTAGCCAACTTCTCAAACTCTCACAAAATCAAATCGGCTCCAGCCACAAACAAAAGCAACAGCAACCAGACAAACAAAGTAATAATGCACAACATGAGGAAATCAGTTAGCTTCGGTGAGATCTCCGTCTCCGAGTTGAAGGAGGCTGACACTCCCCAGCAGAATGCCCTTTGGTATAACAAAGATGAAATCATCTCAATCCGTAAGAGTGCGAAGAGTGTGTCGGCGACGGAGGATGGTTGCACCCGAGGCCTGGAACTCACCGAAGAGAATATCAAGCGACGACTGCGCCACGTTCAAAGCGTACTGGAACTTCAGGATGAGCACAGAGAACAAGACCTCGTCGATGAAAAGGGACTGCAAAGATATGCCAGTGCTCTCAGCAAGGATGAAGCCAAGCAAGCACAACGAAGAGCCTCCCTGGACTCTGTTAACGCTTTCCAGTTGTACAAGGAAGAACAAAATGATTCACTTTCCTCTTTCCTGACGGCTGCATCTGCCGAAGAGTACTCCAAGCCAACTCGCCGAATGAGCCTCAAGCCAGTCCGCCGTCCCAGCATGGCCAACAAGTCCATGCGTCGAATCAGCACCATGCCAAAATTGTCTTCATGAACACGAAGCACATCTTCGACACTTACTTTTTTAGGTCATTAGGGCGCATCGTGTCTACCATAGAGCCAAGCATCAGAAAAGAGCGCTTGTGAGACAAGACGCAAATAGAATAGAACAACAGATAATACTTTCTAAAGGGAACATTGCACGTTACAGAACGATCATAGTACTTTTTTAGCCACATCTATCGATAAGACTAGACGGAGGTGAGCACAATCCCGAAGCAGTCAGGAGAATACCGGTACGAGTTTCATCTTGATCTTGCCAACACACGTCGTTCAAATCAGTGCTGTCCAGTCTAGAGAGTTGGGATAAATTTATGATATCTAGACTGTTACTGTCAGCTGAACTTCGGAGGACCAATCATGTCACTATTCTTCATTGAATCATCTCCAAGATAGGCTCGCCCTTTCCATTCTCATTGCAATTATCTAAGTAAAACAGGTAGCATCACTCTTCATCTTCTCAGGTGCTCTCTCTACTAGTAACGGTAACTAATTGATGACAGGGTCCCAGACCCACAGATTGGCCAACCACTTTTCACCGTTTTCCACTGGCAGCGACTGATGTTGACTCAAATCATCGACATTTCCATCCGGCAGCATATTGTAGAACAGAACCGCCTTGCCAGCTTTGGGTGTAATGGTAATGCCATCATGTTTGGAAGGATTGACGGCTCGTGGAAAGTTGGTCTGTCCTCCGGTAAAGTCGTCATTGAGATACAACAACAGAGTGGCATAGCGCGTGGGTTGGTACCGATGCCGGGCGGATGGATAGACAAAGTCGTGATGGGCCGTGTACTCTTCTCCCGGTTGGTACCGCACCACTTGCAACGATTCGGCAATGGAATGTTGCGTATAATCGGGAGCCTCTTCGTCGTCCTCGTCATGATGATAAAATGCGGGTTGTTGCAAAAGCGATTCCTTCATTTGCAAGAGTTGCGCGGCTCGTCGATAGATTCGATCCGTGAGTTGGGACGTTTCTCGACTCAACCAGGCATTGGTGGACGATCGAGTGGACAGATCGCGTTGCTGTTGGGCCATGCCTCCCGCGTAGAGAGTGGATCCTTGGAGTCCTTGTGCGGCCGCCAAGGACATGAGAGCCTGACACTCGTCATGTGTCAAAAAGTCGTCCATGGCCAAGACACGAGGCGTCACGGAAACCACTTCCAGCGGCAATGTGCGATCCTCCAGCTTTACAGAATGTTGTTGTCCGACATGCGTGGCGGCAATCATGGGATGTACGGGGAAGGGTCTTGGAAAGTGTGCCAACCACGTTCGATGAGAGGCGATCAAGTAGTGTTGGGCAAATTCGAGATTGGCCATTTGCATGTGATACAATTGCCAATCGGCGGGTGTCCACTTGTGGTGGTTCTTGGTAGAATCTTCGTGTACCATGACCGAGTCGTCGGCAGTAACGACCCATCGGTCGAGGGCATGGGAGGAATCATAGACGGGACTGACGAAAAAGGATTGTCCGGGTGTCGTGGCCGTTCCGAGGGAATCAAAGGGTGCAATTTCTCCGACCAGTCTCTGGGAATTGGCGTGTCCTCCCTTTCCATCCCAATGGAGTAGAATGGGATGCGGAGATAGATTGATGAATTTGGCGGCAAACCCAGTAAACGACAAGGATGCTGGTTTGGGTTGTCGTTTCTTTTTGTTCTTGTCGGTCAATCCTGTAATACTCTTGGTGGGTTGTTGTTGTTGCTGTTCTGGCAAAATATCCTTGAGATGAGGGTACATGTCTAGAAAGGAGGGTGGCTGATAAAAGTAGGTGGTTCCCGTGACGTAGCTCTTCTTGTTCTCGTTAGCTTGAACCACGCGTTGTCGCAAACAATGATATTCGGGATCGTGGATTGTGAGTTTGGAAGGAACGCGTTTCGCCAAGACGGTGGAATAATCGTCATCTTCCATGGCATCGGCCACATAGTGGAGTTGGACCGCGTCGACACTTTCAAGGGGAACGTGAAAGTCAAAGAGTTCCAAGTGTTGTTCGACTTTCGATTTCAATGTGGATGGACAAAAACTAATGTTGGCCGTGCGCTGGTATCCGTCCAAATGTTCGTGGCGAAAGGTGGACGCGTAGGCATTGCTACTAGCAGAAGAAGAAGAAGACGACTCAAAGAGATGGTAGTCGTGCTCCTGTTGTTGCGCATAATGTTGCCAGACAGTGGCAAGAATGGTGGCCAAGATAGCCACCAAAATGGCAACGCCATGTTGTCTCCATTCACTCCAGACAATCAAGTCTTTCCAACTACCAGAGCTGCTGTCTTCGTCGTCGTCATAGTCGCTGTCATACTCATCATCGTCGTCATCATCGGAAGTTTCCTTGCAGAGAAGTTCCTTTTCTTCTTCTTCTTGGGAGTCCATGATTTCCAATGGGGCTACCACTCGTTGCGGTTCGTTGCTGTTCAGAGCAGCCGATGTGGTTGTCATGGTTGAGTAATTGTTTGGACTTGGAACGAAGAGAGGAGAAGAAGAAAAGAAGGTGATGGCAGTTTTGTTTGCTCCAATTTGAACAGGCAAAGCCGACCTGCTCGTCATTGGCTTTTCGAAGTCCCGTAATTAGTCATGAAGGATACGTCACGATGACGTACCCGTTACCTATTACTTGAGTCCAACTAAAATATTATTATTGTTTCAGCACAGAAAGAGGACGAGCCAGACAAAGATATCAAAGATATCAGTGACAGATCTACAACAATGGCAACGATGATAGGATGATGAGCAACTCACGCTAGTAGTACAGTCGTAGAATGAGCGACACTAGTAATACTGAAGCCCTGGGCTGGATGGCCGCGTTTGCCTCCATGTTGGCATTTGGTTCGTTTGGAGTGCCGATCAAGAGCGACGCTGCCAATTCCGTTGACATTGATCCCTTGGTCTTTCAATCCTACAAGTCGCTCGTCTGCTTTGCCACCTCCTGGCTCGTCTTGTTGGCCGGAGTGCCATTTTCCTTTACGCCGTGGGGAATTGTCAGTTGTATTTTCTGGGTGCCAGGTAAGAATTTTTAAAAGTGTAATACTAGTATTACAGTACTACGGTACTATACGGAGAATTAGAGAGTCAAGAGAAGCTGAACTCATCTTTATTTTATTTGATGGTTTTGTTTTTGTGTACGTCAAATAGGAGGCGTCGCCACGGTGTTTGCCATTCGCAACGCTGGCTTGGCGATTGCCATTGGAATTGGATCTTCGTCCATTGTCTTGGTCAGTTTTGTTTGGGGGATTTTCATTTTTGACGAAGACATTCATTCCAGAGTCGGCGCTTCCATGGCCATTGTCATGATGATGGCCGGCATTTTGGGAATGAGCTATTTCTCGGCGCCACCGCCGCCATCCGTCTATTCTATTCCCGAACAACAATTGGTCCATGTGTCTACCAACAATACTAGTAGTCATAGCACTAATGACTTTGTCACCATGGTGTCACAAGATGAACAGGATCGGTCAGAACAACCACAAGAAGAATCTAACCATGACGCCACCGATACAGCCATGGCTCCGTATTCCGATGATCCACAGAGTGAAACAACAACAAATACGGAATCCACCAATCCACACACACAAGGAGACGACGAAGAATTCGAGCAAGAATACAACGATTCTACTATTACTACTATCGCTCGTCATGGGGCACACGATCCACTGGAACGACTTCACATTTACGGAACCATTTCCATGACACGACGACAATTGGGAATCATGGGAGCCGTCTTTAATGGCGTATGGGGAGGATCCATTATGGCACCCATGAAATGGTGTCACGACGACAAGACCAGTGGAGCGGGCTATTTAATATCGTTTGGGATTGGGGCCGCAGTGGTCACTACGTTTCTGTGGATCCTCCGATTGGTTGCCACTTATCATCGTCACGCGTCGATAACAGAAGCGTATCGTGCGTTGCCATCGTTCCACTGGAAAATCATGTGGTGTGCCGGAGGAACATCGGGATTGTTGTGGTCCACGGGAAATTTCTTTTCCATTTTATCCGTCTATTATTTGGGAGAAGGGGTGGGATACAGTGTCGTACAAGCGGGAATGTTGGGTACGTAATGTTGTCATTTATCTATCTTGTGTGTGAATGATTGTGGATGTGCACTCATGTCATGTCTGATGTTTCCGACGCACAATTCGGCAGTATCGGGATTGTGGGGCATTCTATACTTTCACGAGATTAAGGGCGCGGCCACCATTGCCAAGTGGTTGGCATCTGCCAGTATCACCATTTGTGGGATCATTCTCCTCAGCTATGAGCACCACAAGACGTGAACGAACGAACGAACCAACACAACGACGACAATTGGAAACAAAATGGTGAGTTTCGGTTTGTCTCGTCTCGTCTGCCGTTTTCTGTTGAAAGATTTGCAATAAAGCAACAACCACCACCGAAGTTCATAGGCGTTGCCCTGCACATTCAACGAAATCGAAAAGTGGGTGTGGCGTGACTGCAAAACGTAGTCCGACATGCAAAAATACCGCTGGTCGTTTTCAAACCATGAGTGCTATGGGTGTCAAGGTCTTCGAAGATTTGATTGATTCGATGTTTTAACCCAGGGTGCTTTTTTCTTATCCCATGAACTCACACTGGACCTGTCTGTCGGCACATTTTATTCTTCTATCCAGGCGGTGTAGGTCGACCGAACGAAACAGTCGTCTTTCTAATATAAGTTCCGATCGCGTGCTCTGGTTATGTCCCAATGCACCCTTGCACGACCTTGGCGTAGCCGCGACTAATGTACCGTGGCTTCATCCAAGCTGCGGTTCCTTGCATGCATGGAGCAGCCTGTGCAACATCCCTTGAAGGAAGGTTCGCCATGAGCAATTGATGAAGCAATCGTATCGGTTATGAGTTCGTCACCCCGCCTGATGTGTAGTGACGACACCTCAAGAGGCTACAGGATATCTCGGGTAGTGAAATCAGATCGGTTGCAAGTTCGTCACCCGCCTTATGTTTAGTGACGGCGCCTTCGGAGGCTCCGATTGGACAGGTTAGCCCGGATAGTGAAATCTTTATTTTAGACCTCATGGGCGTGTGGTTGTGGTGTCACCCAAGGAAGATACCCACCTCATCCATCACGTCGAAGTATGTTAGTACGGCTGTACAAGATCTTGGCTGGCCATTGCTACCTCGCTTGATCTGACCAGTAATAGCGGCGTGCGCTCAAATGAATGTGGTCTTCAATGGTATCACCAGCAGAGCAGTAAAGTGACTAACTAATTCCTGGTTTGCCAATTAGCAGGCATTTTAGTATGGAAACGAGACGTGAAACTGGAGCATTTTCACAAGGAAGTTGGTGTTGATCTGGGCAACGGCGTTCCGGGAGGAAATCAATCTGCAGCAGCGCTACAACACTCGACTAGACTGCAATTTGCCCTGATGCGCAAATCTCCCCTTAGGGCACTGTCACAGAGCTGCTGTGGAATGAGTCCTGTAATGGAAGTTCCAGAAATGTCCAATGAAGTAAGGCGTGTCAATAAGCCGGATTCAGAAGGTATTGTTCCTGTCATCCTACGAGAAGAACGGGAAAAGAAGAACTGAGATGACAACTGGTATTCCTCAATGGCAGCAGAGGCGACTGCTCCATGCCTACCTGAGATTCCCCTCAATATCAAACTCTTGGAGCTTTGTCAGCTTTCCAATCTCCGATGGAATCGTCCCCACATGGTCACATTTGGAGGAGTAATGAGTCAAGTTCTTGCAGGTACCCATTTCCCTTCCCAAAGGTCCAACAAATGAGTTCCCGGAATTGTTGAACACTTGAAGGTCTGGGACAAGGTAGAAGAACAAGCCACTGCTGCTCCCTCCAATAAAGTTATTTCTGTCTGTCTTGATTACTCGAAGTCCAAATGACTCCCAAGATCCAGAACCTCTGGTATGTGACTCCAATCTATTGTTTGACAGAATGAAGACCTCCAAGCCCTTGTTGCCCCCAAGGGCTGCGGGGGCTCCAAACAGATCGTTGTCTTCTACGTCGATTATGCGCAGATCCTCAATGTCAAAATCTTGCAAATTCGAGATGTCCCCATTCAAATTGTTGTGGGAAAGATTGAGTGTATCAAGCACATTGAATTCGTTGCAGGCTGGCTCGACTACACTTGATGAAAACCATTCGCATTCCGAAGTCTCGTAGCTTAGCCAGTGGTCATTCCTGGTCCAGTTTTCACCTTGAGTGAAGTGGTACAATGCCACCATCTGAAATCTTTGACGCTGTCTTTCTGCAGTGTATGAATCCCTGTAAGGATCCTGCCACATCCAAATATTTGCCTTGAAGTAAGGGCTTGACACATCTTCTTCGATGGCCTTGGATACTGCTCTGGCTAAACCATCCTGGAACGGTGGATAAACTTTAGTGTCATTTGGCGAAGAAGCGTTGCCGACTCCTCCGCCGCCGACTGTTGTTTCATCCGTAGCCATACCGTTATCCTTTGGCAAAAGCAAGGGTATCAGGACTACCACCAAGCCGCAAACCAGCAAACCTAGCAGTACCGCCCAACCCAGATGCCGCCGGGGCTGTGTCCTATCTTCCATGATTCTTCCTTCAATGAGTTCATGTGGTTCTTGCATTTCGCTGTGACGTACTGGCACTTCAGGGTTCTCTTCATCCACCAATACAGCTCCCTCGACCACGCCCAGGCCACTATCGGGAGTCGTCATGTCAGCTTCCACAGTGGTGGTGGGATTTGTTTGGTGGGAATCGTTCATGCCTTGGACCGAGTATGCCCCAGGCAACGGCTGGACCCAGGATGAATTTTGACCCCTGGCCAATGGCAAAGGCTCTATATCCGTGTTGACGCCTCGGTCTGGTGCATCTTGCTGTGGCAAAACTTGGGGAGTGGAAGACGCTTCCTGCGCTTCAGAAATACCTCTTTCTTGAAGAAGTACCGATGACGCTTTGGGGCCTGCATCATTGGCTTCGCCGCGAACATCTTCCTGCGAACGACTCTTGGTGGTGCATGACCCTGGTTCGACGGAAGACTCTTCGCTATCTCGCTGAGCACTCGAATCCAAGGGTTGGTCCTCGCTTCCACGTTCCTCTTGCTTTGAAGGATCGCCTTCCATTACTTCAGGGACTGGCTCCACCTCTGGTGCTACACTGTCCCCACCTTGAGTCTCGGCAGAACCATCCATGGATTCATTGCCATTCATGTTGCTGCCTTCCTGCTGCTTACGGCGATTGTGAGAAATGACAGCAAGCGACCCAAACCTATTTGCTTCCGCTCTGCTTGTAGTTTATGTTCCTTGAAGAATAAATCCAGTGAAAGGACGTCATACTACACTGCACCACTACCAGGTACCGGTACACCATACCGGCGCTACTGGTACCTACTAGCTAGCTAGCTACTAGACACGAGGTACAACTTTGGCTGGACACCCCCGGATCCTGGAAAATCGGAAAATCAATGACCCAAAATAACGGCGTTGGCCGGTTGTTCGTCGGGGTGCGTATTACACTTTTACGAGCTCTTTTACGGTACCGTTGTACCGTTACCGTACCGTACTCCTTTGGCTGTTGACAGTTATTATGACTGAGACTCTTAGAACAGCCCCCTAATCCTCGATCTTGCTGGTACTGTACACTTTAATTTATAGTGTGACCGTACGCATGAAGACCAAAAGGGAAAGGTTAGACTAATGAGTAATGAGTGCAATCGAACCGAAAAACATTTTCGGTTCAGCCGAAATCTTGTAGTTGCCAGTCGGTCGCCGGTCGCCTCTTGTAATGGTCAGCGTGGATGCTCAGAGTCGATTGAATCATTGCCCTCAACTACCAGCTAGCAAGCTGAGGGCCTTTTGAACTTTATCTTGTGTGTGTGTAGGTGTGTGTACGTTGAGTGCTGTGTGAGATGTGTGATGTTGTGTGAGATGTGTGTAGACACTACTAGGAGTTAATCTACGACGAATCTACCATTGGATGTTTATCCATGGGGTATACCGTTGCTTGCTGATTTCCAAATTCTGAGCTTAGGAATTTCGCTGTTTGCTTCATCAGTGGAGCAAGCTGGGGATGGCAAAAGATACAAGCCGGGTAGGCTGTGAGAAAAGCAAGGGTACCCTGTTTGTGGTGATTTTGAAATAGACACATAGAGCCGGTACGGTATAGACCGAGACCAAGCTAAACTAAACCGTAAATCCAATACCTCGATGGGCTGGATGTGTGTGTGTGTGTAGGTGTGTGTACGTTGAGTGCTGTGTGAGATGTGTGATGTTGTGTGTGTGTGTGTGTGTGTGTGTCGCGTACATATGGTGCGGTTTCCCTTTCAAGGTTAAGGCTAGCTATGTACATATGGTGCTGTTTCCCTTGCATACATATGGTGCTGTTTCCCTTGCAAGGTTAAGGCTACCGGTAGTGTCGCATACATATGGTGCTGTTTCCCTTGCAAGGTTAAGGCTACCGGTAGGGGTCAAACCAGAACCCTTCCGTTCCTTGGCTTTTAGAAAAATGCAAGTTGAGGGCACTAGCCTCTGGCTGGCTGTCCTTCGATTCGATTCAACCGTTGGCGACTTTATTAGTTTTCATAGCTTTCTAATCTCTCTCATAACTTTCATTCTCTCAAACTCAAAACACTCGAAAGATCTTTACACTAGCTTTTAGCGTAGTGCATTAGTAGAAGCTATCCTATTGTGATAATTGTTGCATCCTTTTTACTACACGGCCACAAAACTGCAACGGATGTGAGTCGGCAACACGACCACTTCCAATGTGAGGTGGGAGAATGCGTTCGAGGAAACCATGACAAGCAGGACGTTGGATTGGAGCATGGATGTGCACTCCATGACCAACGTGACTCTAGCTAGCTAGGTCCGATCCAATTTTTAATCAACTGTGGGTTCGGAGCGCGATCCCTGAAGTGTGATTTTTGAGAAAGTGATTGATTGATTGATTGATTCATTCGATTCGATCGATGCAACAGTGAACAGCGCAGCCCTAACCCAATATGGTAAAGAAATCCTGACGATGACCCGACTGGACTCCAAGCAAGAGCGAAACCCTCGTGGACGATGAGGAAACCAAAAATCAGGCGAAGATTTTTTAAAAAAGGGGTGGAAGAACCGAAATCTTGCTTCTTTAAGGTTCTGCAGTACAAAACATCCTGTATTGAATTTTTTAAAGCTAGTACTATAAAGGTTGAGCCCCCGCAGGGGGCTCTGAACCAAAAAGATTGGGCCCCTTGGGGCCCAACCACCAAGCTAGCTAGCTAGTGGGAGTGGAATACATGGTCTTCTGGCTTGCCCTCAAAGCACTGCAGCAGAGCCTCCTGCATCTTCGACTTTGTCTTTGGGATGGACTTTCCCAGGACTCTGGCCCCACCCTTCATGTCTGCGAAGCTTGTGCGTTGGTCCAACAGCTTGGCTTTGGTCAGACCACCTTGCTTTGGAGCAGCCTTTCTCTTGCCAGCGGCATGTTCATTGATCCTGGCCATCTGAACAAGCTGACCCTTGTCTCTGAGCAAAGCTTTGGCATGCTGGAGCCTCAGCCTACCCCAGAGACCAGCGTTGCCCTGCCGCATCATGTTGAAGTGCATTCGATCGAATGATTCAGCAGCCTTGCAAGGGCTCTCATAACAGGGGATGTGACTCCGTGGACTGCTCCCTGTGGGAAATGATTCTGCAGATGCCGATCCAACATCCCTGCCACTAGAGGAGTCCTAGCTTTCACAGAGGCACATCCTGTCTTGCCAACAGCCGCCAAGAACACTATGCAATTGTCGTCCACCTTGGGGAACCGTCCACTGGAGTACAGGTCCCGTGGTCGATACCAGCCGGCGCCTCTTTCGTACTCGCACTCATCGTCTTCGGAGGATTGCGATGAAAGCGGCTATGTCCTCGGCTGCGGTGAGTACCTCTACCTCTGCGGCTTGCAATGAAAGCGAAGCGGCTATGTCCTCGGCTGCGGCGAGTACCTCTACCTCTACGGCTACTATTACGGATGGGATGACCTCGGTTATATTGTCTTGCTTCACTATCTGGCACAAATTCGAAATCCTCTGGATGCATGCTCCGTCGGTCTTTCGAAAACAACACGACGAGAGACTGATCGAGCTGACACAGAGAAAGCGAAATATTGAATCGTGTGCACGACTGACGTCTCGTGTGCACGACTGACGTCACAGCCGACTGACGTCATCGAAATCGAAAGATCGAACCATTCTGATTGGCTAATCCTCTACGGCGACTCTACAGAGGTAGTGTACGGATTGGGGCGATGTCGGCACGACGGTCCTGCTGTACTTTCTGTACCAATCGTTTGAGGTTCTGTTATGCGAACTACCGTGTATTCAAGACAGCAACCATCGGCTAGCTAGCTAGAATTTCAGAGGAGAAAGAGTTGTGTTGCTAGCTAGAGAGTAGCGTCCAAGCTTCCCAATTCCCAATTCCATAAACCTGTCACCACCAAAACCACGGCACCTGCAATCCACATCACCACACCATGGGAAATGCATGCACAAACGCACTGACCCAAGTCCTGTCATCTGATCATACCGCCAATAGTGACCATGCAGGCACTGCGGAGTCTCCTCTTCCGTTGGGTACCGATTTGATTTGGATTGGCCAGATTCTACCGTTTGTTGGCATTGGACAGTATTTGTTGGAGCTGTCAACAAGAAGATGAACAAAGTGTACAAAGACTACAGTACTGCAAAATGGAACTCCAAAAAAATCCAAGAGAGGTAGCGATGATCCCGCTGAACGATTGTGGCCTGACGAGATATGGAGAAATCACCGACACTCTTTACAGTGAAACATTTTGTAACCAACCACGTGCTGGATACTGGCTCAAGGACAGGTCCTTCAATAAGAAACCAAGTCGTGATGATGTTTGCAAAGTAATTGCCACAGTTGGAAATATTATGGTCATGATGGGACGGCAAAAAGATTCCCATGGAATGATTGACATTGCCTATGCTGCTAAAAATGACATTTGGAAGTCTTGCGGTGGGCTCATGAAAATGGTTGTCCATGGGATGAACAGACATGTACCTATGCTGCTGAAAATGGACATTTGGAAGTCTTGCAGTGGGCTCGTGAAAATGGTTGCCCATGGGATGAGTGGACATGTGGTGGAGCTGCTTCAAATGGACATTTGGAGTCTTGCAGTGGGCTCGTGAAAATGGTTGTCCATGGGATGAGCGGACATGTGCCGATGCTGCTTCAAATGGACATTTGGAAGTTTTAAAGTGGGCTCGTGAAAATCGTTGTCCATGGAATGAAGGGACATGTGGTGGAGCTGCTTCACCTGGACATGCGGAGATTTTGAAGTGGGCTCGTGAAAATGGTTGTCCATGGAATGAGTGGACATCTGCCTATGCTGCTAAAAATGGTCATTTGGCAGTCTTGCGGTGGGCTCGTGAAAATGGTTGTCCATGGGATGAGTGGACATGTACCTATGCTGCTGAAAGTGGACACTTGGATATTTTGAAGTGGGCTCGAGAAAATGGTTGTCCATGGGATGAACAGACATATCAAGCTGCTTCAAATGGACATTGGGAGGCTTTGTTGTGGGAAAATGGTTGTCCATGGGAAGAACAGACATATGAAGCTGCCAGGAGAAGCTGAACTCAAAACAACACCGAACTGATCCAGTGGCTAGGCGACAATGGCTGCCCGGTCTCATGTTGATGGAAACTAACATGGCAACATCATTTAGGTTAAGATCACAAATTGAATGATTGAAGCAGAAGTAGACAATGCCCCATGTTTCCCTCCCAGCAGTGAAGTGACCTCGGTGTATTTTTCCATTTGTTGTCGGAAAGGTATGGCAGGACAGACGCACATTTGTATGGGCCGGATGTGAGATCGCTTCTTTGGTCGAGCATAATGGCGACAAAAGCTTGACTTAGTAGATTGCTACCGGCATAACACAATTCTATAATTACCTCCTGTCTAGTTCTACTATACGAGTGCCAGTGCAAAGCTTCGCGCTATCGGTCGCAAATAATAAGTTCTCAAATTCTTCCAGACAACACGACGAAAGTCTGAAAATGTTGGTCTATGTTCATAATAGATTCAGAAAAAGAACGGTAGCTTAGCTGCTGAATCCAGAGGAGTATCCAAGGAAAGCATTGGTAACATATGGGTCAATTCCAAGCTGTTCGTGCATCATAAGTCCAAGGATTCCCATTTGTGCAGCACGTCCATTGTTCAACTCAATAGCACGCTTTTGCATAAGTTCCTCGTCGGTTCCCTTCCACGCGAAGAGACCATTTCGCAAATCTCCTGGGAACTCGCCAGCACCGTTGTCCTTCATGATGAAGAATTCCAAGATTCCAACAGTTCCAATGATCTCCCAGAAACGTTCAGAGGAAAGCTGCTGAAGAGCACCGTATCCGTTGGCGGTGATGTCTTCATAGGCTCCGAAGCGGAATCCAGCAGTTGTTACCATGTGTCCAACAATGGCCAACTGGGCAATGCGGCCGTGCTTGATCTCAACATAACGAAGGCGGTCGAATCGCTCTTGGTCAATGCCATCACAGACATTCAAAGGATCCCTATAAGAGTGCAGGACATGACAAGAATAAGCTTATGCGCCCGCAACTAACTGTTTCACACTGGTGCCACCACACTCCAACCTACCAGAATCCAAGGGGCTTTTGGGCTCCAAGTTCAGACTCGAAGGACATGGACAAAGCACTCTTGGAGGGAGTGCTTTGTTGAGGAGCAAAGGCGGAGGCCGATGCGGCAAGAAGAGCGATTCCAAAAACAGACTTCATTTTCAAAAAGATGGTTGTACGAGAACAAGTGAGTAGGGGCGGAGTTGCTCCTGTTCCTCATCCAAAGCTTCGTCCTCATGGAGCTTTTCGTCGTTTTGGAACGCAAAGATTTGTCTTCAACTTGAACGACAAATCAAATCCAATGAGTCGAGTCGAATGATTGAATCAATCAACAATTCACTTGTTGTGCGGGACCGGATTAGAGCAGAATTTCTCATTTTTACAGTATGTATCTTCAAAACACCTCTAAAATGGCAATTGATGGAAAACCAGAAGGGGATCAGTGTATGTACATGAAGGTAGATGGTTTTTCACTGAAATAGCTTCTCAAACTGAACAAATCGTATCTGCTGCATGCCTCGAGGAGGCAAGGGCTGCTTTGAGGCCCACGGTACAGCTCGAGTCTGTCAGGCGAGTGTGTCTCAACGTAGGTTTAAACGCCCTCAAGCTTCAGCTGTCACTTTTTGTGGACGAGGCGCAATGCCTTTTGGAGCAGTACAACGTTGATGGGTATTTCCTTTAGAAGTGAAGCAGACAAGACTGTGCGACGAACGGGATTTTCAGGAGTCCTCAACGCGTTTCTGCGATCCAACGATATTTTCCATTCCTATCCTTTGTTTTCAGGTACTGGCCTTGCAATCGAGCACTTGGACGACGTGTTGAAATCGATGATGGGCAAGCTCTCAGGCGTCAAAGTTCCCGAATCATTTTACTATGAATTCGATCAACTCGAGACTGGTCAGATCGAGGAATACATGGAAGATTTTCTTGATTTGACTGACATTGTCGACCATGTCAAAACGCATGTGTTCGAGTGGCTGCGAGGGCGACCACGTTGGACTGCCTCCTTCATTGAGTCATAGCTCACAAGAGGACATAGAAAGATTCAATTTGGGACGAGAGGACGTTTCCGCAGTGGGGGGAAGAAGGAAAGGCACTTTGTACAAGCGCTTGACCGCTATCTATCCAATATGACAGAGAAAGCAGGCAGGAAGTTGTGGCCCGACATTGACGACGCCGACAACATGGGCAGAAAAAGATCGGCGATCTCCCATTTCACGAAATTCATGAAGACTGGCAGTGGCCTACACCCCTCTCGAACAGCAATGGAGCATCTCATCTTCGAGTGTGCGACGACAGGAATGGCAGCTACTGTACGCAGCGACACTTTTCGGGCAATCGAGTACGGCTTGGCGCAAGTTGAGCGTGATGCTCAGGGCAAGTTGATTGGTCGCATCAACGAACCCATTATTGCACAAGCTGGCATCTCTTTATTTACGCTTATGTCAACGGCAGAGAATTTCATGAACACTCAAACCGACAAGGGGACTGCTTTTGAACGCTTTTCAGTTTCTTACCTTATTAAGAATCTTGAAACGATCATCTAGGCACAAGTGGAGCCCAGCAAGCCTGACAATCCATTCCAAGGATTCCGTGTGTCGGAGAAGTCTTCTTACGGCGTTCTGGTACAGAGTTGTAAAGGTTCTGTCGACGCTACGCTGAAATGGATACGTGAGGCGGCAGCGGCTTGCATTGAGGGGGCTGTCCCACCGTTTTGCTGGCCGGATAATGACTTCGGGCCCGACGTGCTGCCGTTGATCTTTAATCAGCAATACACGGATTATCGCACCTTGCTCGCCCAAATGAAGTTTCGAAACTCATTGAACCAGCTGGAAGCGCTTGCAACTCTGGTTCCTGCCTGTCTATACATGGACAACAAGCACATTCCAACGCCAAGAACGAAAGAGGGAGAACCCCCAAAGAAGAAGAAGGCGCGAACATTGAATGTTAGACCATTCAATACCGGGGTCACCCATAGCACAAAACCCAAATGGTTGGCATCGAGTATCGCCGGCCGACCCTGAGTCGGCTGAGTCAAATGGGTTTAGCGACCATGTGGATCCATGTGGCTTACCCAAAAACCGTTTGGGTAGCGGCAACAGCCGACCCAAACCCATTTGACTCATTGGATTCAAATTTACTTAAGGAGAAGAATTGCCACATCATCAATGACATCATTCTGACATCACAATAGGAGCGTTGAGGTTCTCTTTCGCGAGCAAGCATAGCCTTGCTGCGAGTATGTCAAGCCACCCACCATTTGGGTTTTGTGCTATGGGTGACCCCGGTATTGAATGCTCTTAATGTGCCGAAGGAGAAATGGGAAAAGACAAAACCCATTGTCATTCCTCAGGACAAGCCTTGCCTCCGCTTTATGGTACAGTATCCAAAAGCAGCAACTGATACTGCTGTTCCTGCGCGGAGACATAAGGAACATAAGGACAAATTTGAAAAATGCTCCGATGATGATTGTGAGAGTGTGTACGGGTATGATTACCTGATTGTTGCAGCCGGCGGGAGCGAGTCTATGACCCCCAGATCTCACACATTTATCGATCTGGCACGGCTTGCTCTCCACGTGCTTCAACGCTCGATAATCAGTTAGCCAAAGGCCAGTCGCTAAATTCACCCGAACACCCCTGAGCGTTTAAGGAGTACCAAGGTAGCCTAGTCTTATATGTTTAGATCTATTATCTAAGGGGGTTCCACGCTGAGGAGCGTTTGTGATTTTCGCCAAAGGTATTTGTAGACGGTTTATTTGTCTCTATTCGGAAGCATTCGGAAGGCGATTATTCGAAAAATTCGAGAAATCGGAACCCAGAAATCATGTGACAACGGTCAAATCAATCCCAGATTGCCCGTCTTTGGAAATTTCAATTCGTGAATCCCATTCTTATACCATGTGATACAGTAGAGAGGGTGTGCAATTTTTCTAAAGAGGCGTAAAACCAATACGAACCAACCGTTAACATGCAGTCCTAAGAGAAACCAAACTGTTGGCTCTTGTTTTCAACAACTCCATCCAACTACCTCCGACCAACAGCAATGCCACTCCAATCCTCATTATTCCAGCTTTTGAAAACCCAAAAAGGTAAGCAGAAGCTATGGTGTTTTCTCCGCTCCTTCTGTTGTTGATTGTCATTGCTTCTTTTGGTTTCATCTAACCTTCTTTCCTTTGTTTTGGTTTGATCAAGATGGCATCCAACCGCTCCATGAGGAGTACCTCGAGTTCCAGCAGTGGCGAACAAGATGATGAAGAGCCACCTCTCTTTGTTGCCGCATTCCATGATGGTCGCTACAAGAGCCTTCGCTTCATGCAGTATTGCACTGCTTCCTTGCCCGCCAGGCACACCTGTTCTGGTGCAACAACTACCTTGCCACCCCATCTGGTGAAACGATCCTCTTGGTACCAAGCCGCTTCCACCCACAAGAGCCATGCATACCAGTGCCGCCAACATTGGAAGGTTTGTGGTACCGCCGCTGCTGTTCTTGTCCAAGAATATGTCAACACCAAGCATGCAATGTCAGCCGCTACCTTGTCAATGAAGACCCATCTCCTGTTGCATGTACCACCAAGCGTTCTCTTGAGACCACTCCTGTTGAACCGATGGTGACGGATATTGTGGTGGCTGGCAGCAAGTTGACAGCTTCCACGATGACGGCAAGTGTTGTTACCGAAGAACAAGATGGGCGAAAGGTCAAGAAAGCGAAGTCTGACATCACAGTGGACGACCATTCCATCAATAGCCAGGGTCAGGCCTTTACTGTTGCCGGTGTTCCCAAGACACACATTGTTGTTCTCCGGAACAAGTGGGAACGGCTTTGCAACAACGAGAAGAAGATCAAGGACATGCAGAACGGCTTTAATCACTACAAGTTCACCGGTGGTTCTGTTTTCATGCAGTCGGTCCTAGGCATTATGTTGGCGAGTTGCCCTTCCCTTCCACTCAGCCAGATTTCAGTCATTGCCCCACTTATTGTCGCGGCTTTTCTTTGGGACACTGGTAACATGGAAGGTGTTGACTTGAACAAGTTCAGTACGTCTTTCCCTTCTGAGACCTGGTTTCGAAACATCATGTTCCAGCATGCCGGTCGCACTCTTCTTGGACTTGGCAATGTTCTTCGTGGCAAGACTGTCTTTCTTGCCTGTGACAAAGGCAACAAGAAGGGTGTCGGACACTTTGTCAAGGTGGTGTCCTGGTTTGATACTGGTACAATGGAAGTTCGCCGTCAACTATTGGATATTGATGCAGCAGAAGGAACATCAGATGCTTGTGCAAAGGCCATTGCTTGTTCTTTGAAGAAACTTGGCGATGATGGATTTAAGTTCCAAGGACACTGCACTGACAATGGTGGAGGTGGTGTTCTCGATGGATTGTTCTGGTCTATGGATGATCTGAACCTGTGTCGCTCGAACTATCTTGTCGCTAACTGTTGCTTGCACAACCTTCTGTTGGTCGTGAGGAATCCCATTGTCGAAGTACTCAGCGAGGGTGGATTGGACAAGAAGAATGCTATGCAAATGATCCACTGTGTTTACGATCTACAGAACAGCATGGAGAAGGAAGTGTGGTGGACACATGTGGAAGAGGCGGTCAGATTTATGGAAGCCTACCGTACCACTCCCTATGTTGGCGATACATGTGCTGATCAAGTCTTTGCCACGAAGTGGGAACGGGTCAAGACTTTCCGGGAGTTCTCTGGATTGGACAACAAGGACCTCAAGAGACTACTCCTTTCTGTACCGGCCCCAGTTCTTACAAGATGGTGGACAGTTGGGGAAGCGGCAAGGGTAACCTACTTGTGTTATCTACTGATTCTACGCCTAACCCAGACAGTCATCAACGTCCATGACACCAAGAGCAAGCAGCACAAGATTGCGTCCGGCCTACAGCCACTTCTACTGGAGGCAGAGCTGTACTCTGATTTGACACTGATGCATTGCTACCACTTCGTGTTCGTCAGTCCACACTTTGACTGGTTGCAGAGCAGTGTTGATATGTCTGGCATTCCTGGCTTCCAAGCGCACAACATCATTGGCAGGTACTATCTCATGCACAATGACTTGCAACACATGGAACGAAACGGCATTGCGTTTGACCCTGCCTTTGATGCCTTTCACGATTCCTTGGACCTCCTTCCAGAAGAAACACAGGTGCTGCAGAGGAACAAGGCCTCTCGCTTCTTTAAGATTGCCAAGGATGCACTGACCAGGCGACTTCTACCAGCGGCACTTCTCTCTGAAGAACCAGCGGCAGTGGTGGTGGCTTATGTCAT